AGAAATAGTAGCTGGTAAATCAGGACTACTTTGAAAAATTGTTTATCTAGTTAATTTTAGATTTCTTTTCCAAGACAGGATTTCTCTGTGTAGCCCTGGCCGTCTAGGAACTTGTTTTGTTGACCTCAAACTCACTGAGATCCACCTGCCTTGGTCTCCTGGGTGCTGGGATTAAAGGTATGTACCACCACCACTCTGCAATTTTAGAATCTTTAATAATTTTCATTTTATCCTGCCTTCCAGATATATAAGCATGTGTGTCCCCAGCTGGTGGCGCTACTTGGGAAGGTTGTAGAGCCTTTAGGGGGTGGAGCATTGCTGGAAGGAGGAGGTTTCTGAGGGCCTTAGTGCTTTAGAGCCTGGCCCCACTTCTAGTTCCTTCTCTTGTTTCTGAGTGTGGACACAATGGGATCGGCAAGCTCTGAGTGGCTTTGTCATATCTTCCCTGCCACAACTGACTGTATAAATGCTTTCTCACTTAAGTTGTACTGTCAGGGCACTTTATTACAGCAATGAGAAAGTAACTATGGCAGTTCCTTTGTTTAATTTCTGAACTTGAAAGCCCTGCTCATCAACATATTCCCAATTGCACTATGTACACTATCTGGGAATAAGGATATATCCTTCATGAGACTTTGGAAGGATCTCTCAAATCTTATCTTTTATTAGAACTAGGTCCCAATTCTATTAGATATACTTTCAGGAAATTAGAATAATCACTCTTAATTACTTCACCTACTAACTTACTATAATTAAAGCCTTTCTTTTATTAAACTAGTTAAATTCTTGCCGGTAACAATGAATAATCTGGGTCTACTATGGAATTTCATGTAAGTTTTCTCACTGCAATCCTACAGTCTCAATGGGGCTCTCTTTTTCAGAGATGTAAAAAAGAAAGAACTCTATTACACAAGAAAGCTGCCTCTAGATTTCAGGAAAGCCTCACACAAGGCCACCATTATTCTTTGAAAATGAAAACAATTCACTGTAAACTTGGTAGCTTTGAGTGATATTGGGTATTTTCGAATATTCTCAAATAGCTTTTCAATTACTTCCACACTCTGGCTTTTGTTCCTCATCCCCATTTTTTTTTTTTTTTTTTTTTTGCAATAAATACTCAATTATGTCATTATGAAGTTTATTCCTATGTAGTTGACATTTCTGAATAACTTCTTTTAATCCCTCTTTAGTGTCAGCAAGAGAATATGTAATGAGAAAATGTGGAGGACAGGTGGGGAAAGGTGACACCTACTATTCAATGCAAATGGAACCAGCCGGGCAGAAGCCACAGAACAGTGTCAGGTGCATGGTTTCCCACCATTAAGATGAAGGCACAGAGTATTGTGTTGAGTAAGAGCCTCACCAGTAGTCAGCTAAGGCATTGTCAGTGAGCTGCCACTTCTAGGTTGTCTGGTGACAGGTTCCCTTTAGCCTCTCGTTAATTTTGACACTGGGGAAAAGCACTGAGCATGCTAGGAAACCAAGTTCTGTTATTTATTTATTTATTGTACTAGAGATGTTGGATCCTGGACCTTGCACTCTCTGAGACAGGATCTTGTTCTGCCACCCAGGCAGGCACTGAACTTATGGTTCTCTTCCTGTTTAGTCTTTCACATAGCTGGGCTGACAGGCCTGGCCAAGACCTGTCTTGGAAAACAGTTCACTAGGCTAGTGGCTTGAGCTGGCCAGGTCTGCATTCTGCAGGGGACAGCAAGACCCCAAGCACCACAGAGTCTCATGACACAAGCCAGAGGGACGTATTACAGAGTCTTCTCCAGGAGACAATAGTCTGCTGCAGCTCCAGTAACATTCTCTTTCACATTAATTCCATTTTGCTCATGCACTTTTATGGTTTGGGATCATATCTGCTAAATGTTAATCAATATTCAAAGAAAAACTGATTACTGACAGTGCACTGACATTTTATCTGCTGTTGTATTTTAAAATGGATTTGTCTGTGTATGTGTGCATGTGCTGCTTATACATGAGTGTGCACACCCATGTACACCAAGACCAGAGTGTCACTGAACTGGAAGCTTGTCATTTTGGCTAGATTGGCTGGCTTGCAAGCCCCTGGATATGCCCACCTCTGCCCCACCCCATAAGGCTGGGTTACAGGAATGCACAGTCAGTGTCCAGCTCTTGACATAGCTGCTGGGGATTTGAACTCAGGGTCCTTGTACTTATACAGACAGCGCTCTTACCCACTAAGCAGTCTCCCTAGCCCCTCTGTGCAGTTTTCTGGAATCTTCTGAAGTACAGTTAAATTAGCTTTCATACTTTCCCCATTAAAATGTTTCTAAAACACTGTATATTTCTTTAAGAACTACTCTCTATGGCTATAGGCTAGATACTTAACTTGTAAGTGTTCTTTTCATTAATTATTAATAAAAAAGAGAACTATTATATTCCTTAATTCTGCTTAGGCAGTTACTAGAGTAACATTTCACACATCTCCAAAGCTCAGATCTTGAGTTTCATCTTAGTTTTCGTGATGAACTGCTTCACTGCCTGTGGTCCCCAAGGTCTGGGAACCTTTTCTCGGAAGGGTACTCATGGTATGGCCTTTGGCAAGCTTCCTGGTGACTCATCTATGGTCACAGTACTACCACCCATTCTTCACACTAGCCATATTCAAACATAGTCAAACAGTTGTAATGGAGTGTGTGTGTGTGTGTGGGGGGGTACAATGATGAATTTATAGCCTTAGCTCTACTCTTGAATAATATAACAAAATCTAAGCCCTTAAGCTTTAGCTCAATGACGATGAGCATGGCCTTTTGGTGGATGAGTAAGGCAAGTCAGTGGAACACATGACTGGCTGGGAAGAGTTCTTGTTTTGATTTTGTAAGTAAGAATTGTGGTGTCTGTTGTGTGAGTTTTCCTAAGGAGATGGAAAGAAACATCTATTTGTCCCTGATGGAGACAGCATCTATGAATCAAAGAAAAGACTCCATTCAAGGCAGCATGGTAAGTCGATGAGTTTACTGGGGGTGACTTAGAGGAGTGTGAGCAACCCAGAGGCAGCTGCATTACTGAAAACTCCCACCTGCACCCTTCCGCCTTTTATATGCTCTATCATCCCAAAGGCCACATGCAGCTGGATGAGAGGGCATAATGACAGAAACCTCAGATCAGGGTCCCCGGACTACCTTCTTCTATGGTGGAATGCGGATGGTTCAATCTGTGGAGGTTCTTTTGCTTGTCATTATGCAGATTTAAGATCACTAACCCAGAGGAAACAGTTACATTAACGGTTCCCTCCAACAGGCTGATAAACTCCGTTTTTAAAAACCTGTTTTCCGATACGTCAACTGCTACATATATCAATATGGGTGCTGAAGTCTGAATCCAGTAAGACGTTTTACCCCACCACCATTAGCAGCTTCTAACAGTGAAATAAACGAGTACATGGACACTATTCAGACTGTTTCCAGAAGGGAGTGATGTAGTGGGGAAGTAGTGAGGGCATGTTCACTGTGTGTGAGTGTCCCCTCTCAGCTGTCCCATCTCAAAAGTAAATTCCTCCACTGGCAGACATGTACCTCTGGGGACATGGGCATAAACAAGGCCTCTCTAGCAGGCCACATCACAAATGGAGATGAAGGGTTACAGCAGCAGACCTTGGCCTTCTGTAGCTGGATGTCATAGGTGGTAAGGTGGAGGAGCCACAAGCAACTGACAGGTGTGAGGGGCCGATGAAGGCTGAGCCGTAGGGACAGCATATTATGTTAAAGCTGGAAGTTCCTGACAGCCTCACAGTAGGCAGAAGGCAAGGTAGCACCATCAAACAACCCAGCATCAATTCATCTACTGGGAAAGGCGGGAACAGAGAGAACGTTGCAGTGTCAGGGTCTATGTAAAATCTTCCCGTGGGCTGGTGTGTCTGAGTACTTGCTACCCAGCTGGGATGATACCTGGGGAAGTTGTGGAAACATAAGCAGTGGGATCATGTTGGATGAAGGACTTGGGATCCAGCCTTGAAGTCTATGGCCCAGCCCTGCTTCCTGTCATACCTCCTGCCCACTCCCACTGCCGCCATGGCTTGCCAACCAGCATGCCTTCAATGGCACTTCTCAAACCACGAGCTGAGGTAGGTTTCTCCTCTCATAAACCATATAGTCACAACAATGAGAAAAATAATACAAGTGGCAAATGCCCAAAGCTCTAAGAGTTGTGGTCCCGTGTTACACAAGGCCCAGACAATGGGAAGCAGTTTCTTCTTTACTTTGTGGACAGTTCACCAGAAGCTGGAGAAGAATGTACCCCAGGTGGCATCTTCAACTAGACAGTCACAGTTTCAATGGTGATCAAAAGCATCAGGGCAGCCAGAAGGGCTCTCAGAGCTCAATTGACCCACCACAGCCACTGACCAAAAGGTATAACTTTTTCCACTGCAGCCTACCAACCCACAGGTTTAACTAAGGCACCGAGCCATAGGCTTAAGTGACCCACAGCAGCTTACTGACCCATGGGCTTAACCAACCCCCTGACTTACAGGCTTAGATGAAGCCAAGGCCCACACAGGTAGAGGGGGACTTTCAAGGGGCAAATGATCCTGCCATATGTCATTCCTGTTGGCACCAAGTCCTCACACACTCAGCAGCTTTGGCCTCTTGAGGGTTCTCTGCCATGTCACCTTAAGTATGCTTCAAGGACAGAGATGGTGGGAGCTAGACAATCATACATGCTTTTCACTCAGGGAACTGGAGCCAAAGAGGAAAAGGGGTTTGTCTGACCTGTGGCAACTGGTACCAGGAGCAGAATCTAGGGTTTGAAATCCCTTGCCTAGCACTGATTTCACCAAGTGACACACTTCTAGATGCTTCCTTAGAACCACATCTTCCCCTAGCTACATCTTCAAAGATGGGCAAAGCATTCAACCTTTGCCAGATGACCCAATACATACACACACATGTGTTCCTGAGCTACAGTATAGGCCCTGCAGAAGCATGCTCCCCGGGCACACAGATGGGCCTGAGTATGGGTGAAATCTTTACCTTCAAATGCTCGTGCAGCATCCACAAGGTGGGACCAATCTAACCCCGTGGCCGTGTCTGGTAGCGGCATCAGGCCAGGATCTGCACACTTGGACTTATCCGATAAGGACCCGTCGGAGAACCAGAACTCATCTGAGTAGAAACAAAATCAGAGTGTAAGCCAGTCGGTCTATCTCCACACAGAATCACAGCATGGGTACCATTGCCCTCAAAGGGAGTCAGTCAGAAGGCCAGTGAGTCATAGCATGGGTACCCTCGCCCTCAAACTCTTAGGGAATGAGTCAGTAAGACACAGTATGGGAGTCACCACCCTGGCAGGGAATCAGTCAGCCAGCCAGAGCATGTGCACCATCACCCTCTTAGAGAACCAGTCAGTCGGTTCATCCCAGCGTGGGTACCACAGACCCCACAGAGTACATCAATATGAGCACCACAGTTCCCAATACAGTCAGTTATTCTGTCAATGCATTAGTCACTGTCTACATGGTCAGTCACAGCATGAACACTGCTACTCACACAGAGCCAGCCAGTCAGTTAGTAGGTCACAGCTTGGTCACCACTGTTCTCACACAGTCAGTCACAGTATGAGTACCAGATTCCCTATCTGGAGTTAGTCAACCTATCATTCCATTAGTCACTTTGCTCACAGCCAGTCAGCCAGTCAGATCATGGGTACCACCATCCTCACAATCAGCCACTCACAGCATGAGTACAATTAGTCCCTACCTAGATTCTGCTAGTCCATCAGTCCCTGCATAGGTGTCGTCTCCACATAACTAGTTAGTCACAGCACTGTGATCCTCCCAGGGTCAGAGAGTCTATAAGTGGGTTTGTCAGTCATAGCATGGAGAGGATGTCCCCACTCAGTTATGGTATGAATGCCACAGTTGTCACAGAGTTGGTTACAGCACAGGTATTGCCATCATCTCTCACAAAGAGGGGCCTAGAAAACTCTATAAAACATGTCCTGCTAAAATAGGAAACATTAAGCTGCTATCCCCAAAAGAGATGGAGGTTTGTCATTAGCAGCCAACACGACATCAACTAGACAATAGAGCAAGAAGGGGTGGTCAGCATGGAGCCTGGTAGAGCATCCTTACTTCACACTCTTGCAGAAGCTTTGTGGAGGTACCCAAACCTGACTGACCTGGGATAAGTTCCTGTTTCCTCAGGGTAGCTGCCCCCTTTAAAAAGTGCCTCAACCTTCACACTGCCCAGACACAAGCTGGCAGCAATCTCTTCCTTTATGATGATTTACAGTCTGAAGAACAAGGTCAGTAAAGCTGAATCACGAAACGTTACATGGGCCTCTTTTCCACCCAAATGGAGTAAGGCTATTTCAACTAACCGACTGGGAGAAGAAAGGATGTCTTTTCATGACCTATGTGCAGGCAGGGCTGCTGGCCCACTTTTCTGACTTCACAGGACAGTCCTAGTGCAGCCCCGCCAGAAGCCCCCGGGCCCTCCCTCACTTCCTGAAATGCTTGACAATTTTCCTTCAGCGGTGCACATGTGTCTCCCCACCATCGTTTGCAGCTCCTTAAATGCTTGGAACATTAATGACACTCATTGTTAAGAACTCCTTATACATCTGAGAATAAATTCTGAAAGGGCTTGACCGGACAATTTCAAAGTGCCTTTTCTGAACCTGCCCAGAGCATGGCATGCGGCTGCTTCTGGCTGCATCTGACTAATGAGACCAATCAAAGTAATGACCACCTGGCTGGCTGAACCTGCAATTAAGTTCAGGGGCGTAATTAAGCAAATGCACCTGTGATTTTTGCACCTCCATCCCTCTGGGAAGCTGTGAGGTGCTGGCATCTGGAATGGGACAGACATCATTTTGCACATGTGGCCTTGAAGGACACCCACAGCCTGCTCCCAGTGACAGTGACACCAATCAGACAGTGCTGTTTCCAAGCGACCATGCTGAGATGTGATGATGTCTGCCAATGTATGTACTCCCAGTCTCCACGGAGGGAAGAGTATGGCAGCCTCTCCCTGTGCATCTTTACAATACCAGCGGTTCATGCGTGCACTCTGCCACTGTCAAGTGGTGAGCCAGCAGCAGAGGCTGGAGCAGGAGCTGGAGAGAAAACACTCAGGATTTTTGGGTCCCTTCTCCATGGCCTTCTCTGGGGGACACTGCAGAACACAGTGGCTGGTGTTAGAAGAATAAAAGGGACAATGGCTGGCTGACATGATAAAGGAGGGGATGGAGGCCTAGGTAACAAAGAAAGGGACAGTGGCTGGTTCTAATTTAGAAGGTTGAGTGAGAGTTAACGTCCTCCAGTAGGAAGATCACTTCCCGGGTTACTCAATGAAATAACCGCATGGTAGTCTTGGGCTAAAAAGTTCAAGCTCTTTTTCTAAGGCAAGGCACAAATTAAGAATCTTGGTGCTGAGGGGCAGATGTGAGTGACTGGGTGTGCAGACAGGTGCAGCTTAGTCAGCCCTAGAGTCTGCTCACAGGAGAGCACAAAGGCAGTCACTACTAAGTGAGACTAGGGTCTCAGCAAGTGCAGACACCCTCATCTCCAGCTTTCAGCCATGCAGGGAGCCAAGGCTGGAATACAGCAAGCATGCAATGCTGCTCATCATCAATGCCCACTGTGAGGGGGACTTCTGCAGATTCAACAGCGAGGAATGGGCGGAGAGGAGACTGTGTGAGAAGCCCCCTCTGGCTGGAGCCTCCAGTGATGTCTTTACAGGGAGTACTTATCACATTATGGGATGGGACAGCAAGGGCTCAGCTTTCAGGCTCTGTCATTAGAAGACACACACACTGGGCTTTCTGAACCTTTTGAAAATGACAGGCTAGGTGATGTGCTTCGAGACAGAGTCCTGTCTAAGGAGGTGACACTTGCTTGAGATCTGAGTGATAAGGGGGAGCTGGCAGACACTTGACACATTACTAGCATAAAAACTTGGGATAAGTGTGGGGAAGATTTGAACCTTAGCCTGACTTGACCTGAGCAGGGAGAGCCTCAGGCTCTAGCTGTCCTTCAGACAACCCAGGAGCTACATGTGCCTTTTCCAACTGTCAAAATCAGGCACTTAAGATTTTTTTCTTCCACTGAGTGGAAATGAGGTAATTAAGAACAAGATCAGCCTTTTAACATTCTTTATGTCCAAAGACTCAAACCAGTGGCAATCTGTTTCGTCTTTAACTGGCATACACATCTCTGCCCACATTACTGGAAGCCAGCAAGCACTGTCACCATGCCAGTGGAAGCAGCGAGGACCCATGTGGAGCCAAAGCTGGTAGATGAACACTGTCCATGGTTTGGTGGGTTTGCATATGGTGGGAAGGAGGAGCTACCACTCTGCCTGTGATATTACTATACTCTGCATGTGTTCCATTTTCAAATAGAGAAAACTCCCTTGTCATGGCTACCCAAAGCTCTCCTTTCAAATCCAACTATTCAAAGCCTTGGGTCACCTTGGGAGATTCAGAAAGAAAGTGATCAGCTAGGTGACAGCACTGACTAGTTCCCTGGGCATAGTGGCAGAGTCTATGGAAGCATGTGACTGACTCCCAGAATAGCATCTGGCTCCTCACAGAGCCAAGAAGGCCTGTGTGCTATGGAACACTTAGGTCAGATAGAGAAGAGAGAAATACAAGATTATAATAGGAGTACTTCCTGGGGAACCCAAGGAGGGGAAGAACAGAAGGGGGCATGATTGGCCTGAATGCATGTCTGAGAATAGGTGGACAATGTTCAGTTTCACCTGGACAGAACCATGCAATTTCTCTGCTTGATTATCTCTGTCTACATTGTATGAGAACCTAGATTTTAGAGGTGGCTCGGGTCTAGGCCCTGTTGCCCACCCAACATGCCAACATGCTGTTTAGCTGAACACCAATCTTATGGATTCCTAACATCACTCCACCATCCTGACTCTCTGACTCTATTGGTATTATAAACGCTAAGGGACCACCTGACAGCATCAACTACGTAGCTCTTTAATGTGAGCTTTAGAGATAACAATAGTGTATCCTGATGTCAAAAGGTTGGATCTATCTGTCTACCCAAGCTAGAAGACAGCACATGGACAGTCCAAGTCTTCATGTGACACAGCATTTCTGTCTCTGAGAATCTAAGAGGTACTCCCGGCATGTGCTCCTTGGTGTTCACCACTGGAGGACTGCTTCTGGGGATGAGGGCTCATTCAGAATTCAGAATGCTGCCACACTCTTGGAGGGCTGAGTCCCTTTGGGGGGGCAGGGCTGGCTGTACAACAACCACAAAGGCATTGAACGAATGGATTTTGAGGGGACAGATGGAAACTGTCACACAGGTATCATATCAGAGGTGGTCATGGACAAGGAGCTAGCATCCTCCAACTGGATCCTTGATACTTAAGGTTCATGGGCAGCAGTAAGGGAATCAGAGGCTTTTGGGAGAGGATAAGTCACCACACATTATTTCAAGGTTTCTTATTTACATTCAGTTACACATTACAGTTCACACGTCTATCCCAGAACAGAGATCTGAGCAGCTTAAGGTTCAAGGAGACACATTACCAAATAAGGGTGTTTTATGAGAGTGCACCTAATAACAAGGGCCCTTAAAGGAGTGACAAGAACATGGTATGTCTTGCTTCTTTCCTCATTATGCCTAGATACTGTGGACAACTATGGAAGGATCCAAAGAAAGCATGGACTATCATTCAGAGATGAGAAAAGGCACAGAGGAACTGCTGATGCTAAGAAAGAGGTCAACATGAAAGGCGACACCTTCCAGCTACAGGACATTACTGGACCACAGTAACAGCAAGGAAACCATGTTTGCCAAAGGTGAGAGGGCAGGAGGAAAATCAAAGAAGCGGGCTTTTTAAGGCTGTGAAACTGATCTGTACAATGCTGTGGAGGCAGACACATTTTGCTGACCATCTGTACAGAGCATGTGCAGAGTGAAACATAAAGCAAGAACTAGTCCTAGCTGACATAGATGCTCAGTGGGCTCTACTGTAACCCGAGTGCCATGTGGCTTATAGGGTGGGGGATAGGGAGAGTCTTCAAGGAGTAGGGAGTACATGGAAACCACAGTATTTTTATGCTCGTCCTATGAACCTAAAACCTGTCTAAGAAGTGGTTTATTTATTTATTATTATTACAATTTATGTTAAGAAACTGAAGCTAAAAAACTGCATCTGTCACACAGTGGGAAAAAGGGCTGAATGGAAAACTCAACAACATAGACTACTTATAGTATGGGAAGTAGAAAAAATAAGGTCATAAAACAACTTCAGTAGCTTCACAAAAGCTTTTAAGAAACTTAGGCCATCCTGAGCTACATGAGTCCCTGTCTCTAAAGAGGTGTATGGCTGTGACATTTAAAGGGAAATACAATAAATGTGTCTGTCTGAACTTTTGCCCTGCTATTGAGAAACTCAGAGGTTTTATAACAGGCAGGGTACCATGCTCTTGAAGAAATACATTAAGTACTGTACAAGATGAGGTTCTCCCCAGCTTGTTAAACATTATTAGAATCCTTATGTCAGACAACTTGGGATGTTTATATACACCACAGAAGTTAAACTGGTTGTAAAGATGGTTCTTTTTACAATGAAATTAAAAAAAAAAAAAAAAATCAGCCTGAATATAAATTTATGGTCAAACTGTCATTTTCCCTGTATGATAGGAATGGTGTAGGGCACAGAAATTAACATTTAAATAGCATCAAAACCTGACACATTGAGACTGGGGAAATGGCTCAGTGGGGAAAGTGCCTGCTGTGCAAACATGAGGACTTGAGTTTGGATCCCTAGTACCCATGTGAAAGCCAAGCATGCTGATGTATGCTTGCAAACATAGTGCCAGCAAAGGACACAAGGAGAGCCCAGGGACTCACTGGCCAGCCAGAACAGCTGAAATGGCAAACTCTGGGTTCAGTAAGAGACCTTGTATCTACAGATGTGTACACACACACTCTCTCTAAAAATTATAGTTTTAAAATTTGAACTGCCAATTATCAGCTTGACTTGTGACCAGGGTGCTGGTGGAAGCTGGGCACACAGAAATAGAGATGACATGCAGAGGGTCATAAAGCCTGAGCTGGGTCTCCCAACACCCCCTTCTATCACCTGTTACCAGGGCCATGAAAAGGGAGAGCTGGAATGCTTGGCACAACCTGAAAACTCACTCCACGCCATTGTGCTTTTTTTTTTTTTTTTTGCAAAAGTTAGACTTTAGACATCACTTCCTTCAGAAATAAAGTAAAAACAGTATTTGATAATAACGTGTAATGTAAACCACCTTGCAGCTTTGCTATTTGAAAATGATTTAAATGACAAATAAAACAGTGCCAAACAATTGACATCCAATTCCACATGTGCACTGGGAAATCCAACTTGAAGAGCACATGAACCTACATGGCCCATGTACCCACACAGGCAGCCAGGGTGGCCTGGCCTCCACTTACTTCTTAGGCTCCCCATGCTGGGAGCAGGGTGGGTCCTTGGAGGCAGCGTGCTGTGGTAAGGTGGAGTGGTGCTGAACAGAATGTCATTGGGCAGGGCCTGGTCCAGGATGGAGCTTCGAGAACTGGCAAAGGAAGAGCCCCTCCGGTTGCTGCATACACTCTCATCAGACAATGTTCTGTACAACGACCTCCGTGGAGACAGGTTCCCATAGAACGAAAACTAGGGGATGAGAAAGGTAGCAGTCACTAACAATTTGAAAGTGTAAGGAGTAGTGGTGCACACCTATAATCCCCAGTACATGGGAAGCTGAGGCAGGGGGACTGCTGAGAGGCAAGTACAAGCAAGTTAGGCTACCTTACCAAGACCATTTCAAAACCAAATAAAGACACCCAAAATAAATACGCAGTTAAGAGTTGTCTGACTGAGCAACAGTAGCAGCTTCCTGAAGTCTTCTATTAGTCCAGGAAAGCCCAGCATGCAGGGAAGCTCCTGTACTATGTATGCCTATACTTCAGAGTTCCCTCCCTCCTCTGTCATTCTGTGGAATACTAGCACAAATTAGGCATGTACATCTTTATTAATTCTGAAATGTTAAATGGAACCGTAGAGAGGCAAGTGCTCCTGGAAATACACAAGGTCGCCATTTCAGGCAACTGATATTCACAAAAGCACACTGTAGCTTGATGGTAATTGGGAACGACTAGATTTTAATATCAGTCAACTGACAGTAGGGAAGTTCAAATGAGTCTAAATAAGAAAACTAATTCTGAACATTGACATTTGCTGAGCCATATAAATGGGCTTAAGAAAAATAGCTTAAATCTAGTAAATTCTGCTGTACACTTAAAAATTACCACTTGCAAAAGTCTGTACTATAATTGTTGGAGACTGAATTACAGTCAATGGGACAAAACTATTGCAAGGGTCGGCTTGTTAACTGACATAATTTTGAATCACCTGGGAAGAGTGTCTCAATGTCTACCTTGGGTCAGCCTGTGGGGATGTCTGTGGGAGGTTGTCCAGCCCACTGAGGGTGGCACCATTCCCTTGGCAAGGGCTCCTGAACTGTATGCAGTGGAGTGGAGAAACTGAATGAGCACAAGCAAGCACACATGCACCCACTTCCCTTTTTCCTTGTCTGAGGATGTGATGTGACCATCTAGCTGTCTGAAGTTCCTGCCTTGACCTCTACCCATTTATGGACTGTAATCTGAAATGGCAAGATGAAATAAATCCTTTTCTCAGTTGCCTTGTTGTTGGTTTTTTTTTTTTAAGTAATGGCAAGCATAGTGAAACTGGGGCAACCAACTATAATGAAACCACTATGTGTTAAATCTCAGATACAGTAAAACAAATCCCAGCTAAAGCAGCAAGGACTCACAAAGAGTCAGATCTGCTCTGAATCCCCATCACTTCCTTGGCATACTAAACCACTTTTCCTCTCATGTAAATGCCATTTCTAACACATACATATTACCATTTCTGGTAGTTGATATTACCATTTGTGGATGTGGCAAGGAGGCTAGGAATCTTTCTATTGCCTGTGTTCCATTCATTCTGTCTGGTCTTCCAGTGAAGAATGTGTGTGAACTGTAAAGCCCACTTGTACTGGGAAAGGAAGTGATTTATCTTTGAAGAAAACACACATCAAGTACAAATTCACCCATTCTGAGAAGCTGCATGCTGTGGAGTCCTCTGCCCTTGAACCCAAGCACATATAGTTCCCTAACTGGGACTGATACAAGTTTTAAGAAAAAGGCTCACTGCGAGGCACTCTGATGGGATTCCCTTCTCACACCCCAGCAAGCTCTTCAGAGCTGAGTGCCAGTGCTTAGATGAAAGTGGATGGAGATGGGGAGGAGAGGGGCACTGCCTGATGGTGCTGCTCTGGGAACACAAGACAGATAACTGTATGCTGTTCACAATGGGAAAGCAGTATACAGTTGGCTGCTCACTGCCACACCAGGCAGTGTCTCACTTTCCCACTTAAACTAAAGACGCTTGGATTACAAGTGAGAGAAGGGTTCTGTTCTAGTAGCAAATATATGTTTGCTTCACATTCCACTATCTGAGTCTCAGTTACTTGCAAAAAGAAGTGACCGACTAAAACCTATTTGTGGTCTTTTAATACTTTGCATTATTTAAAAAATTGTTTTGTTCATTTGTTTATTATTGTGTGGGGGGCACATACATGTCATGGTACATAGGTGGAGGCCAGAGAATAACTTGGGGGTTCCACCTTCTCCTTCTACCATGTGGATCATAGGGACAAAATTCAGGTCATCAGGCTCAGCAGCAAGTGCCATTAACTGCTGCTTGGAGGTTCCTAATTTGCATTATTTTAAAAAGTGGTTTATGAGACAGAGAGAAAGAGGCAGAGAGGGAGTGGGAGAACAGAACAAGAGCAGTGAATTCCTTCCTTGAGAAGGCACTGCGGGGCACAAGGATGGCACAGTACTGTCTCTCTGAGCTCTGCAACTCTGTATGGCAGAATACAAGGTTTGGTAGATTTCTGGAACAGACAGCCTCTCAGGAAGACCTGGGCAGGGTACAGGCTGGAGGTCCTGGGTGAGTTAAGCAGTGTGAACTTCACTGGCTCAGGTTTGATTTCTAGTTATGTCTAGGCATCATGCTAGGCTTCCATGTGTCACTTCCTAGCACACCCCTGGACCTGGAGGGTAGTTACTGTCATAATCTTTTATTACACCAGCACACAAAGGCCACTTGCATAAGCTCATGTAGCAGCTCATGGCTGGAGCCAAGACCTTAGAGAGCCTGCCTGGCTTTCAGAGCACCTTCAAGAATACAACGCTCCCCACACTCCCCACCCTAGCCTCCTCAGGCTTGCTTGTCTCCTGAAGGAATTGCAGGCCTGGGCTGCAGCTCTTGCCTACAATGTACAAGGCTCTGGAGTTCCATCCTCAGTACTAAAGCAAAAACAAAAACAAAACAAAACAAAATACAAGCCAGGGCAGTGGTAGTGCACATCTTTGAGCCCAGCACTCGGGAGGCAGAGGTAGGTAAATCTCTGTGAGTTCTAGGCCAGCCTGGTGTATAGAACAAGTTCCAAGACAGCCAAGGCTACACAGAGAAACCCTGCCTTTGGAGGAAAAAAAAAAAAAAATCCGAATCCAAAATCTGATAAATGTGCAGTGGCAATGGCCACTCTGCTCTTGACTGTTGGTGAGACCATGGAGAAACTTGTAGAAAGGTGCCATGAGCACCTCAAACTTGCTTCAGACTGATTATAGTGTTCCTGGTGACTCTGAAGCCCTTACGGTCACTCACCTTGCGTCTTCCCTCCTCCACTAAGGGGCTGTCAGGAAGCATCAACTTCAGAAAGTCATCTTTGGATAAGACGTGTTGAGTTTCTGAAACAGCGTCTCCCACCACTGCTGGATGCTGAGTGGCTGTGGACATGAGGTCCATCTCGCCATATATCCTGATGGAATAAATCAGAACATAGGTTCAGAGGAATTGTGACCTAGAAGACACCTCTTGGTGGTCATATGAAAGTTCAGTAGACACTTGCAAGCTGAGGAGATAGTCTAGTCAGAATGAGGACCTGAGTTCAATCTCCCCAAATCCAAATGAAAAACAGTCAGGTGCTGTGCTTGGCACTGGCCAGTCGGTCTAGAGTAATCAGCACACTCCAGGGCAGCAACAGACCCTGTCTCAAAAATCACTGTGTGTGTGTGTGTGTGCGTGTGTGTGTGTGTGTGTGTATGTGTGTGCCATCCCTACACCATCTCACATCTGTGAAATGAGATTAAATATAGTTAGAATTTCTGAATAATTCAGAGGTAACTCAGATCCCCAAAGCTCAAAATGAAAACACTACCAACTTTAAAATAAAGCCACACTTCCCTCCTAATCTGCGTCAGGAAGTGGCTTCCATGGTCATCAGACACTGTTAAGAGCTGCAGCAACATGCACCCTCCCTGAGGCTGGACAGCAGGACCCCACAGCTGCCAATGAGGAGAGAAGGCTGCCCCAGGTGGTCGGGTTTAAGAGAAATTGGTTGAGGCATGAACTAAGTAGGTTTCATTATTGGTGACTTCACAAAGCTGTTTGGATAAATAAAGCCACTGTCTCCCTTAATTACAAGGATATGAAAATGGATGTATAAGCTACAAAAGCCTGCCATATTGAATTACTGTGCCCAGGTCCTTTCCAGGAGACTGGGGAGTTACTCTGGAACAGTCTGTGATCAAAACATGATCTGGGCAGCCAGACACTCCCAGGACCCAGGATAATCAGGCTGGATGATCTGTGCTACACAACTGTAAACATAAGGCTCAGGATCCAGCTGCCCACAGCGGAAAGCTACAAAGGGTGACCCTCGAATCACTGTAGCACTGATATGCCTGCTTCAATGAAATGCTACCTCATCACAGTGTGACAGCTCACAGGGGAGTGAGAATAAGAAACATACCAGGGCCTGTTCACAGTGACTAGGCTTTATGGGAAACTCTCTGTGTCTCTCTGCTGGCACTTCCCACCTTCAAGTCCAGATGGTGCTGACAATGTGAACAGACAGGCTGGGGCAGTAGCTCTCTAGACCTTTCAGACATGACTGGAGGGGACAGGCTTGTGATAACAGGGCATGAGATGGGGGTGACCAGAACCCCAAAACTTTGGGGACTTTTGCAGAAGATCCTTCTAAGGTGAGAGCCATACATGGCTTTTGGGAATGGCATGTCCAAGAAGTACCTGACTCTGGGCTGGGAAGTGCTCAAGATCATCAGCAGGGCCTGTTTCATTTGGGGGAGACATAGAAACCCCCCCCCCAGGTTTCATCATCAGCCACACTGTGGAGAAAAAAACCAAACCATGGATCATAACAGCTTACAGAGAGTGCTTCTAGCTTCCATGGGATAAGAATCACCGCATTCTCTGCTAAGTTAATTCTGGAAAAACGTGTTCAACTATGTGCCATAAATATGCTCCAAAGGTTTATTCTGTGCTGGTCACTGAATGTGTACACATATATGCATGTGGGAAGGAATTATACAGATGGTGCAGAGCAGAGCCCATCCTGGGAGGATGTGGCTGGGCTTGGAAGGCTGTTTGGCAGAAGCAGGGACAAACTCAGGTACCAGGTACAATTGTTCCTCTGCTTATGTCATTTTAAAATACAGGATACTGAGGGCAAAAGCCATCCCAGAAAGCTCTATAACACAATTTTAAATTAACTGGTGATCTTTCTCCCTCCTTCTTGGTGGTGTATGCTATGTCTACACATTTGTGTGTGTGAAGGTTTAGGTCAGAGGTTGACATTGAGATGTCTTTTACTGAGCTCCCCATCTTAGCTTTCGAGATAGGGTCTCTTGCTGAACCTGAAGCTCACTGTTTTGGCTAGGCTATCTGACCAGGGATCCCTGGGAAACACCTGTCTTCACTGGTCAGAGCTGGGGTTACAGATGAATGCTACTATTCCTACCCCTTTTTACATTGATGTCAGGGTCCAGCAAGAACTTTATTCACTGATCCATCTCCCAAGCACACTGGTAATTTCAGAACTATGAACTTCTCCCAAAGAACAGAAAATGAGGTTTGGTGTTGTGACCAATGGGGTATTGCTAATGCTTAATTTACAGTGGTGCTAGCCTCATGGCTGCCTGGCAGCTTCCTGAATGGTTCTTCCAGAGACCTGGTAGGCAGTACACTCAAAATCCAGCCTTGCAGTCTTTCCTTAGAACCTGCTAGACATGGCTTCAACAATTATGCCTAACATATGAACACACATGCTGGTCTGCAGTCCTACACTGACACAATGCCTTAGCATATCTACTCTGGGCTCAAATATTAGGAAGTGGGGGTAGGATGAATAACCTCCCTATAACACGTGCCTGAGCATACACATGGAAGAATGCCACTTGCCCCACACCATCTGGCCAGGAAGATTTCTTAGGCGGAGAGCTGCAGCAGGGACATGCTGGGCTCTATATAAAATGTGTGAAGTTGTTTCCCAAAGATGCCAACCTCCTACCCTCTACACTCCTGTATTACCCCTTCCCCTTGACATCAGTATAGGTCCATTCATAAAGACACAGAGACTGTGCCTCATCCACCAGGGTTCTAACAATGCTTTCTGGAATTTGCGAAAGGCTTGGGATGAATTTCATGAAGATGTAAGACAGAACACCCAATGCCAGCAGTTATGTGAAAGGTATAGTAGAAATGCCCTTCTCAAACATTTTGTAACAAATTGACATGATTCTCTATATTCCAAGATTCCAGAGACAATTTAAGCACTAACTTGAGGGTCAACTTAGACATTATAAACATGATAGTTGGGTTTAACATGGGATCATTTTATCAGATGTCAGTGCTGGTTGACAAATGGGAGTCTTAACTCTGAAGTGAACCCTGTAAGACAATCTGCACCCTCCCATAAGCTGTGTATTCACAGGCACACCCTGTCCCTGCCTACACCATAGCAAGCTCACATGGCAGAACACACGATCAGACCTTATGACACACAGTTTCTTATGTTTCTTAGATGACACCAGACCTTCAGCTTTTCCTCCTTTCACACGCATACAGTCTTCCCCCCACCTGCCTACCAACCCTCAGGAGTCCTACAAAACAATCAGGTAAAGTGTTTCTGCTTTTGCTTTCTTACTGTGGAATTCATGCTGCCCTTGGCCTTGAGATACCATAGAGTCTATGCCCACACCATCGCCAGCTGTTACCATGACTCCACTGCAGATAGCTTTTTGGATATAGACTCAAAAATCAAAGACAGCAGAGTTTTACATTTTTTTTTTAACATATAAAAGTCAAGGGCTAGAGAGATGGCTCATCAGGCAAAGGGCTTTCTATCTTAAAGTATAAGCCATAGAATTTGAGTTCAATCCCAGGAACCCAGAACCAACTTCACAACTTCACAGAGTTGTTCTCTGACCTCTAGACATACGCTATGGCACCCCTCCACATCATCACCACCACCATCATCATCAAATGAAAACTTTAGAAAAGAAACACAGATGCCAACATTTAAAGAATTTAAAACAGGCTGGCTCAGTGGGTAAAATGCTAGCCTTGCAAGCACAAGGACTTGAACTCCATCCCCAGCACCCAGATAAAAAGCTGGACATATTGATCTGAACTTGTAATACCAGTTGAGGATCACTGGGGCTCAAGGGCTAGTAACCTCACCTACTTGGTGAGTTCCAGGTCAGCGGGAGGCCCTATTGTTTTTATTTCCTCTTTGTTCTTTTAGGGGCCCTCCAACCAGTTCCCACATAAATCAGAGTCTTATTCTTATAAATTCCCAGCCTTAGCTTGGCTTGCTTCTAGCCAGCTTTTCTTATCTTACTCAGTTACCTTTTGCCTGTGGGCCTTTTCCCTTTCTTCCTTCTGTATATCTTATTTTCACTCTTACTCTGTGGCTGGCTGGGTGGCTGGCCCCTAGCATCCTTCTCTCCCCCTTTCCCTGCTCTTCCTTGCTCTTTCCCCAGATTTCTCCTCCTATTTATACTCTCTGCCTGCCAGTCCCACTTGTCCTTTCTCCTGCCTCAGCTATTGGACATTCAGCTCCTTCTTAAACCATCAGGTGCTTTAGACAGGCACAAAATCACAGCGTTAAACAAATGCAGCACAAATGAAAGTCACACACCTTAAAATAACTTTCTACAACACCCTATCTCAAAGAAGGTAGACAATGCCTGAAGAACATCACCAAAGGCTGCCTCTGGATTCCACACGACTGTGTACAAATGTGTGTGCGCACACACTGAGCTGGCTAGCTTTGTATCAATGTGACACAAGCTATAGTCACCTGGGAGGAGGGAACCTTGACTGAGAAAACGCCTCTGTAAGATCAGGATATAGGCAAGCCTGTAGGGCATTTTCTTAATTAGTGATTGATGGGGGAGGGCCAAGCCCATTGTGGGTCCTGGATTCTGTAAGAAATCAGGCTGAGGAAGCCATGAGGAGCAAGCCATTAAGCAGCACCCTCCATGGTCTTTGCATCAGCTCCTGCCTCCAGGTTCCTGCACTGTTTGATTCCTGCCCTGACTTCCTTCAGTAACAGACTGTGATGTGGAAGTTTAAGTCAAATAAACCCTCTCCTCCACATTTTGCTTTTGGTCATGATATTTTATCGGCAACAGTAACCTTAACAACAACAACAACAACAACAACAACAACACACACACACACACACACACACACACACACACACACACACACACACACACACACACAGTTTGGCTGTCCTTTTCTAGACACTGTACTTCCTGTGGTAGGAAGCCAGTATAGTGAATGCAGTTGCCAATGTAACAGGAAGACACTTACCTAGGGCATTCAGTCACTTCAGGTTCCTCGGGCGGTGGGCTGCCTTCTGACTTTTTCCAGCCAATGACATATTTGTTTGCTGCCTCTTGTCTGTGGTAAGGCTTTGACAAGGCCCCGGGAACCTGCTGACTGCTACTGTGAGAAACGATATAGACTTTGGAGCTGTCCAGAGACCCAGTGCTTTTGGAGCAGTGAGCAGAGGGGCTTCCTGAATGGTGCGAGCCACTGTGGAGAGAGACAGAGGTGGAAACACTGTCACACGCAGAAGTGACTTGTGGTCAGAGCTGGCCACTGGGCTGGGAAGGCAGGTTGCTGTACAGAAGCTCCCACGTTCCTATGTGGGCTCTCTTGTGGCAGTAACAACATAAGAAATACAACTGGAGGGAAATATTACAGCAAAAGGTAAGTAGGTGGCAGGGCCGCTCACTCAGTGCCTAAAATTCCATCTTAGCTGCCCATGCCTTCAGTCTCATTACAGGTAGAAAGACCTAAGGCCAATGAGGAGCTTCAACCCAGGTCCTCATGGACTTTTTAATCCCCTAGTAATCCACCAAATTAATAGGTGAGGTACTTGAGGAAAATCCCTTCAAACACTTCTTCCTCTAAGTATGACGGGGATGTGCACTGAAGGGAAGTGCCTAAGGAAACCTCACTTCTCAGGAACACAAAATTCTCTGCCATACAGATTCCACGAGTCCCTGAGGGTATCCTGACTCCTGACACCAGGTTTCTTACAAGTGTCCTGAACTTTGAAAAGACGCTACAGGGCTGGCTGCAAGACCTCAAGGTAGCTTTTATAGAATGCCCAACTTTCATCTGATCCAGAGAAGAGGTGGGAATATCCAGGGAGTAGAATCCGCGTGATCCCTGGATATAATATTGTGTAGCACGGAGCTTACTGTATTAAACAGAATCTGTAAAAAGCAGTTAGAATGTCTACTTGGCATACACCTCCACACCCTCAGTCCCCTCTGCCCCAAGAAACAGGGGCCCTCCCTCGGCATGGTGACGTGTCACCGCTGCTGAGCAGCCCCCCCCCCCCCCGCAGAGGCTCCAGCTACCTTCAGCAGTACCACCCTCAGCCAAGGAGAGTTGAGAGACGTGGGTGGGGGTGTGAGCTTAATCTTGTTAAGTTGTCTACATCTGGAATCCCTGAGCTGACCTGTGTGTCTGAGGCTATGTCGAAAACCCACCCTGAATGTGGCCAGCACCATCCCACAGACTGGGTCCTGGACAGAATAAAAAGTAGAAAGTGAGCTGAGCACCAGCATCCATCTCTGCTTCCTGACTGTGGATACTGTGTGACAGCTGCCTTACTCTTCTGTCACCATGCTTCCCATTATGACGGACTGTGTCCCTCAAATCACGAGTCAAAATAAACCCCTTTCCTCAAGTTGCCTTTGTCATGGATCTCATCATAGCAATGACCAAAGAAATTAGCTGGTACAGGGACTTCTCAGCGAGAGCTGTGCCTTCTGAATATAGCAGAAAGAGCCCCTTCTCACCTGGGGACAGCAATGAACGGGGCCTGTGGGTGGCAATCAGTTTTAGCCATGAGGAAAATGCTCACGGTGTGAAAGGCTGTCATGTGGAGGCTAAAGGTAGGGAACCTAGTGTTGGGCAATGACAGTTGGCCAAGTAGAACCTCAATAGTTCAAGATACTTGGGTTTCATGATGCAATATGACGCAAAAATCCTGTCCCCCTTTAGTTAAATGAACCAATGAGGGTGTAGTTTTTACTCCCACTGAATGTATACACAATGCAATGACAGCCATTGGCCTCCTTTAGTAATGTCCAAGAGAGGGCAGGGGAGAGTTCTAGGGAAACTCTGGGGGCCACTGCTCAGGAGCAGAGGCCTATTTAGGGGCTTGCAGGTACCACCTCCTGGAGACATGCCTATCAGTCCTAGGTCCTGAAGGACTGTCCCATTACGGTTTGTCTAGCCATGTTCTATGGTTGGAAGCTCTGAGAGCAACCCAGAACCCAGTGCAAATATCAGTGGAAGTCACACTGCCTGATTAAATCCCACCCTCAGACACAATGACACACATTTCTTCTCTGAGTCTTTGAAGACAACGCAGAAATTTGAAATTATCAGTTTTTAAACAAACATATAGATGTCTGTCAAGAAGGAGTACAGAACAAATACTTACAGGCATGCATTATCCATCTATAATTAGAATATAATTCAATTCCCTTCTATTTAGCTTCCCCCTCACCCCTAGTACTGGGGTGTTGAATTTACCAGAGCCTCAAGCTATTTCACAAATATAAATCAATTAATTTTGAGACAGGATCTCACTAAAATGTCCAAACTGATTTTTAACTGACTGTATGTCCCAGGCTAGCCTTGATTAGCCTCTGAATAGCTGGGATTATGGGTCTGCACCATCAGGCACATTCAGCTAACTCTTCACTTAAAACTCCCAATTGGAGCTATAAAGATGACTTAGCATTTAAGAGCATTTACTGCTCTTCTAGAAGGATCTGAGCTTGGTTTCCAGTACCCACAATTAGATGGCTTACAACTACTTGTGATTGCAGCTCAAGAGGATCCAACACCCTTTTCTGGCATCTGAGGGCACAATGCTATGTGCATATACCCACACATAGACCCAAACCCAAAAATCTCAGCTGTACATTAACAGTCACACAAGAAACTTCAAGTCTGGCCTGCTAGCAGGCTTCATGAGCAAGGATGGTTTGATGGTGTTCACAAGCTTACACAAGGGGGTAGGGTGGGTCCCTGATGAGGAGCCCCTTTTCCAGGGGTCTCCAACTGGTTTTTTGACATAATGGTGAGATGATGTTGCCACCTATAAATGAGCTGTGCTGTATTCACAGTTAACCTGGGATGCAGGTGGCCTGTAGGGTGGACATGGCTGATAGACACTGAAGATTACCCAACTTGCAGCTCTTTATCAGAAGGTATCAGGGTCAGAAGCTGAGCTGGGAGAGGTGACTTAACCCTCAAATTTAAAAGGGAGAACAAAATCACTAGGACATTACTAAACATGCACATCTCGACAACAGTTTCAGAGGCAAAATCTCGCTGAGAGGTCAGACAGTTGGGTAGTCAGCAGCAACCAGCCTCAGGCCCTGCCCTTACTGCTTCAGGAAGGAGCAGCTACTGTGTGGCCCATGTTGGCTCACCTGGAGTGAGAAGAGATCTCACTGAGGTCACCCATGCTGCCCTCTGCAGCACTGGTGGAGATGGCAGAGGCATAGCCATGCAGGGTATACAACTTGGCAGGTTCATCATCAGCTCCCGAGACATCAGCAGCATCAGCCCACTGTTCGGCCCGGCTGTGGATCAGCGACCTGCTGCCCGTCAGATGCACAGGGCCAAGGATGGTGGCTGGCATGCAGGGAGTGGTGTCGATGCCACTGTCAGTCGAAGCGCCTTTGATGTAGGTCAATCCCAGCAGCTCGGGGTCCATCAGGTCCCCTGACCCAAAATGCTTGTCATCACTGTTGCTGGATGTGTTACTGGAGAGAGTATTACTGCTGGAGTGGCTGGAGCAGCTCTTATCTCCGATCTGGAGAAGAGGATAGACAGATGACAGTCTTTGGGTAAACCCCTATGCACTGCTCTCCCTCAAACACTAGGCTACAACCAGGGCCTGGGTTTAATTCTGTGTGCTCCTGGTGCTGCCACCAGAAATGTGGCTTTTCTTCACAACAGCTTAATCGTGTGTGTGTGTGTGTGTGTGTGTGTGTGTGTGTGTGTGTGTGTGTAACAGTGGTCAGCCTCCTTTTGTTTCTCAGGGTGCTAGTCAATCTTCTTTTAGACACTGTCTCTGACTTTCACTTGGAACCTGCTGATTCAGCTGGCTGGCTGGGAAGCCCCAGGGATCTTCCGGTCTCTGCCTCCCCAGTGCTGGGATTGCCAGTGTCCATCACCACACCTGGTTTTAAATGGAAGCTAGGGACTGAACTCAGGTTCGCACTTTACCCATTGAGCCATTTCTCTAGTCCACCAGCTTGGTCTCAGGCAGAGGTCCTGCCCCCTGCCTCCTTCCATTAATGCCATGAGATAGGCATCCTTTCTTTGGTCAACCACTGGTATATAACACACAAAAGTAGAGCAACACATCACTGAGGGGTGTATGGACTGGGAAGGATGTAACCTTCAGCCATTTACATTTATGGCCAATTTATAGTCATTTACAGCCAATATGGCATGTATCCTAAAAGTTCCAATGCCAGCTCAAGTCTGAGGAAGGAGACCCAGGCTTGAGTCATAAGGGTAAAACATCTAGTTAGTCCCTGGAAGCTTCCTGAGCTTATAGTGCCATATGGTTCCCGTGCAGAAAAGCCCTCTGAAGCTGTGACATGCCCTGCAATCAACCATGTAGGCTCTTGGGAGGCTAAAGCCAAATGAAGTCCCAAGGGAAGATTCCAAAATACACCTGTTTGAAGAGCACTTGATGCTTTGGGGCCCTGGAAGACCAATGGCAAACACAACAGTAGAGACCTCTTTTGTCCACTGTGTTCAGAGCAATTGAACTCTTGTCAGAGCTTGAGAACCAGCAGGACCAGGGCTTTGGAACCAGGACAATGCACCCTACCTAGACATTTCCCAGGGGTTTGGCCATCTCTCTTTTCCTTCCATCCCACTGGACCCCGGGGTCCTTCCACATCCTGTCTCCCTCTGACAGAACTACTGCAGGAACTGTAGAGGGGGATGTGAGTGGACTTAGGAAGTAACTCAATACCAGGAGAGAGCTGTGGCTGTAGGAAGAAATGCTGCATGCATGCGTGAGTGCATGGGTGCATGTGTGTGCATGCGTTTAAGGGGAACTGTAAAACTCACTGCTGACCAAGAGAGGGAAGTCTGTAACTTCCTTTCACCTGCACATTTTTCAAATGTACACAGGCTGCTCCTTTGTACTGGGTCTCACTGGAAGCTGTTTCTCAAGTCAGTCTTTTAGGGGACTTGCCTTGTAGAGGCTACATAAGTCAGTATGAGGGAATAACAAGGAATGTTCTGTCAGTGGGCAGCTGCCACCATGCACTGTCAGCAGGCAGCTATGGTTACCGGACATCTCAGTGACATCAGCAGAAGGACCTCACTGCAGTTCTTCTGACCATATATCTGTCTCACTTTCCACTACTGCCCTATCCCACTCAGTGGCTAAGTGGTTAACAAACTAAATCTGGGGACAAGATCTCAATACTATCGCCCAGGACATCAAGGCTTGGAGGGTTGATGTACATGTTGGCTTTGCCAGTAATCTGCTGTACAGCCTTTCTGTGATTTCCTTCACAAATTGAGGAGATAAACATTTTCTCATTTCCTTTCACCTATTATCCTCTTCTATGGTGTCCTACGTGGTAAACAACACCCTCTTGATCATACTGCTACAGGTGTGCCACCTACTGTTGCTGGAAGGTGTTTATGTTGTCAATCATTGGCACAGGTGTGCTGCCTACCCTACTGTGTACTAGAATGTACTCCAGAGGACTGAGCATCGCATGTGGACACATGCTGGTCAACTGTGGGCTGGGGCATGTCCCAAGCTGCTGGCAAGCATGTTACTCTACTGGGTGTGGTATGTAATTCATGTTCTTGATACACACGTACTGCCATACTGTGTGCTTGGCTTCGCCTCACACTCTCAAGCATGGAAAACACATATGCAGTCCTACTGTGTGCTGAACTGCATCCTATGTCCTTGAGCACTGTGGACAAGTGTGTTTTGCCACCCACTATGTGCTGACATCAGCCCTGGTTAACAGTATGATTGGCCATATGCAAACGACTTACATGAGACAGCTTATTGGGGGAATCTTTGCAGCTCCCATCTTTCTGTAGGGCTCTTTCCTTATAGGAGCTCAGGACTTTGGAAGGTGGGCCATGCCATTTGGTTTCTGTGACATAAAGAGAGTTGAACCCCCAATTTCCAATGTTAGTAAGAGAAAGAAAGACAGGAATGTAATAGATAGTTTGGAACAATCAAGGAGGAAAGTGACTTTACAACTTCCCAGGTTACCAATGGATACACAGGAGCCAGGAAAACCAGCACCACCTATTTCTTTAGGCATTATAACCACAGTTGTCTGAAGCCACACTACAACCACAGCCACAGCAGAACCAACCAGGTAGCCTCAGGCACTGCCTTTGATGCTGGGAGAATCAGCCAAGTCCTCTGGCATAGCTCACAGAGGGGCTTACTGAGTATGGCCAACAAGGGGATGAGTGGGGACAGTGGGAAAAAGTGCAAGTCAAGGGGAGCCTTGGGGCCAGTTTCCCAGGGTTCCACCTTACCTGGAAGCCTGCCTCCTTCTATGATGTCCTCATGTTCCCTGGCTCCATCACACTCCACAGAGCCTGGGCCCTGGTGCTCGAGCAGTAGAGGGGATGGGCATCTGCAAAGAAAAGAGTCCAGCTGTACTTTCCTGACACCACCAGCCAGCAGAGGAACAGGGCTGCTGGTTTCTACAGGGGACAAGCACAAGATAGCTGTTGGTTCCTACAAAAGCCATGGTTACCAACCTCTATTGGTGTGGGTTGGGGGTGTTGGCGCTTTAGGCCTGAAGCCCTTCTCAGAAATGGTTCCCTGACCAGTGGAAACACAGTATTATGGCTGATCTCTCCAGAGCAGAAGATGCTATTTCACTAGGGGTTAACACTGCTAGCATTGAGAGGCCACAGGCTGTCCAGCTATGATGGGGCACAGTGATCTGTCTTTCTTTTGACTAAGGTATGTGATAGATCTGAAAAAAATGCTTTGAAGAAAAGAAAATCTGACTAAGTCTTGATTCCACCCAGAAGGCCTTTGCCTTACAAAAGGAAGACAAATCTTAGAAAATAAAGGAACTGAAGAAAATGTGCTTCTATTACAACATGATTTGTATGGAGAGAATCCATGCTGTGGATCTTAAATCACACAAGGGTTTCCATCTATATAAAGGAAACTAAAACACCCTCCTTGTTTAACATGTAGCTTCATTTAGAAGAGGTATTTAACATTTAGCTGTGAAGAGCTCTGTCTATCAACTGAGGTAATCGTCCACGCTAAGCCCAAACTGGACAACAGAATGCTTGGACTCGAGTTCTGCTCTGCACCTGAAGACAGTACTACGACTGCCTGCAGCAGGGTCTTCCATGGACAGGTGTCTTCTGTCCATACCAGTTCAAGGCCTCTATGGATGGGTGACTGTGTTCTGTTCACAAACAGGCCTAGGCTCTGACCACCATAGGTGGACTGGAATCACCACACAGCACAGACATGATTGCTGTGGTTCGGTCACCTCAAGAGTTCATTAAGGTCAGGAGGTATGTGTATTCACAAGGATCTCCAGCTGTGACCACACTGCCGACTCCCAGGATATGACACAAACCACAGTGGCCTCTACTACACTTCTCCAACAGGAAGTGAAGATGCTTCAATGATAACTTCATTTCTCTGGCTTCAAGGAGTTGTCTCTTGCTAGCAACTTAAGAAATGGGGACTCTCTGAGGGCTCCTGTTCACGGAGTCCTCAGCTCTTCACTCTCGTGTTCAGAAGTCACTTCAATGTCACAAAAAAAGCAAGGTTTTAGAAAGACTGGTTAATACCATGTGCACAGAAATGGAGTTTCCTAGCTGGGACTGGTGGTACACTCCTGCCATGCCAGCACCTGAGAGGCTGACACAGGCAGATTGCCACATGTTACAAACCAGCATGGGCTACAGTGCAAGACTATTTCAACAAAAGAAATGGTTCTTCCTAGCCTGGACCCAGTGCTTACTATAAGTGCCTATTACTTCCACATTTCCCAAGTGGCCTTCCATGCAACCCACACACAGGGAATGCTACTGAATGAATCCCAGGCATAGGTACAGGCTCCCCCGGGGTTGGGGGGTGGCAGAAAGGCGAGAAGGAGCCATACCCATCGTAGCCCACTTGTGGTCTCCAAGGTCCACTCCCACCAGGTCCTGGGTCGCTGGATGATGACTGGTTGCTGGGAGAACTTCTGCAAGAAAGAACAGCAATAGGGTTATGGACATCGGATATTGCCAGTCCAGCCCACCTGTCTGACTTGAGCTGGTTACAAACAAATTTGCTTTGTCCATGACAAAGAGCCAATCACATTACAATGTGACACGGAACCAATCATGGATAGATACTCTAAGAACTGGAATGCCTCAAGATTTCTGGGGATTTATGACTAGCAACCCATCATAGGAAGGAGATGTGGGTAAGTGAGCTATCTAAAGATGAAGGCACATGACAACGGTAAAGGACAAAACCAGGAACATGGCTGGAGGATGCAGTCAGGAGAGCAGCACTCACACCTGTTACAAGGAGCTTATGCCAGCCATGTCTGGATCATCAGAGGGAGAGAACAAAGCTGAAATTCAGCAAAACCACTGACTTTCATACAGCTATGAAATGTAATTCTATGGATCTTTCCCAAAATATTTGTGAAAACTCACTTGATAGGGATAATGCTAGCCAGGAATCCCTCTGCAACTGGGTCATTCTGGCTTCCTCTGTAATTTTCGAAACTCTACTTAAATGCTGTGACTCCTGCTCAGGTGTTACTGGCTGGGGCCTTGCACTGCAATCTGTGTGCCTTTAGAGCACGAAGGGTGGGTTATAAACCCCATGATCATCAAGTAATGAAGCTTAGAGCACTTTCTGGGTGAATAAAATAGAGGCAGTAGAAAGGGCTACACACTTTATTAAATGTGTAATTTATGTTGGTAAATATATCTCAGTTTACAGTGTGCCGTGCCTGGTTCTAGGCCTCTCACTTGATGCTGATCTGGTCAGTACTTAGAAGGGCTTGACATTGTCTGCATCCTTCTCTTTCAGAGGAAGTAAGTAGATCAGAGAGGCCCAGGGGGACAGTGTCTCAGGTAAGTAAAACCCTGGCTTCCAGTGTGTTCTGACAAGTGCACCAGATCAGAGCCTGTCAGGGATCAGCTGCCTAAAGTAAAGACACACATCTCTGTGTCGCATGGAAGTTTACAGACAGGCATTATAATGGAATTCATTGTTGTGCTCTTAAATACAACCTATGCAAATTAGATGCCCTGAACTCTCATCACCTTCTCATATGACTAGGTTTAACTTTAAATGATGCATTCTTCCATTGAAACAGCTGTTATTGAGCCAGGCCTGTTAGCAGGCTTGTAACTTCAGCTTCTCAGAAGGCCAAAGCAGGAAGATGGCAAATTTAGGGTCTGAGCAGGCTACAGAGTGAGTTAAGCTAGTCTAGGCAACTCAGTGAGACCCTGTCATTAGATTCATTTGAATTCAGCTCACTTTGCTTGAGGCGAGAGAGATGTGCACTACTTGGAGGGTTGCATCCCTGCACTGGGAAATTCCTGTTCATGTTTGTTTACTTTATTCAAACATGTTCAAGTGTTCCTAGGAGTACACTGATAATAGCCTTGGGGTGTTTGGAGCCACCACAGAGGGCATCTGACATTACCTTAAGAAAAGGTTAGACTCTTGAATGCCCCTGTGCCCTAGGCTACCTGATTGCCCTGCTTGCCTAACGTTCACAACAAGCCATCATAGAACTGGTCAGGCTGCACTTGCAACCTTTGGCCTGAGTTAGTGTATAAGGAAGGTTATAGGTATTACCTGGTGCCATCAGGCAGCTTCCTATCAAAGGATGTGCTCCTGGGGATGGCGGCCTGGGCCTGTTGGAGCAGTGGCTGGCATTGCAGACGGTCAGGTGTGCCTGGCACAGGTGAGGCTCTGGAAACTGGCTGTAGAGCAGGGGTGGGCACACGGTGCCATGTGGTGTTTCTTCTGAAAGGTGTCTTGTACTCGCAGGGTGTGCCCTCACTGTCCAGCTTGTACTCTACCATGGGGATCCGGCAGAGCTCTGAACAGCCCCTGTGGATTCAAGAAGAGGTGGTAAGAGGGCAGCTTCTTAGGGAACCCCAGGCAAGGCCCACTCATGATGGAGCAGATTCTCCCTGCAAGTGTACCTGTGTTTGCTGAGGCCTAACTGGATGCTACCTAACATCTACCCTAAGAGGCACTCCTATGGCAACATTCCCTAGATGCTCAAAACTATTCAGCTGCTGTCTGGCTAACAGTCATAGACTGAGACTCTAAAAGGTCCAATTGTGGCTTTCTTCTCTCTGCCAACATACTACTAGGCTGCTTGGGGTGGGAAGTGCTGCACAGTGGGAAGAATATAGTCCTTTGGATGCTGTGAGTTACTGTTAGTTGTTAGGTGTTTTCAAAGCCCTTCTGTACTCCTCCAAGTGCTGCACATCAAAGTCCAGAGATGCTGCACGCCTGCTCAGGATTACACAGTAGGGTCATGGCCAGACCCAGGTGCTACCAATGTCCACTGAGCTAGACACAGACACAAGACACTGTTTACCAGGGCCCAGGCATCAGGGTGAATCACCCAATTGGCCATGCTGGTCTAGCAATCAATATCCACAGGCACTGCCCCTCTCCAGATAGTCAGATAAAATTCCTATGAAGCCTTTGAAAGAACTGCTCCAAGAACATGCATCCATTAGTGGATACTGCAGTAAAGCATGCCAGTTCCTTTCAAAGGCACTGCTGAAGAACAGCAGGAGCGCAGCACCACCCAGGACGTGCAGAAGGAGAACCACCATGCCCTCTCTGCACAGCCCAGAGGCTCAGCCAAGAGATGCCAGTATGGCTGGCTGACTGAGTATGTAGTCCTAAGACTAAGAGAGCAGGGGGCAACCCTAGGCCCTGAGGTCCAAGAAGCATGGGGCAACCAGAGGGTATTAGAGAGCAAGCACAGGGCTCTTCAGTGTTTGACAGAAACATAGGGACTTGGGCAGGTGGCACCGAGAAGAGCGGGTGGGAGATGATGAAAGAGGAAACCCAGCCTTATTGACCCTTACCCAAATCCAGCCTGTCCCCAAAGGCTGAGTGAGGACCACTTTCACCAGAAAGACAACACATGTCAGTCCCAGGTCCTATGGAGAAGCTCCCTGACAATCCAAGGCTCAGAGAACAAGTAGGAGCCCCTGGTATTGACAAAGGTCTTAGAGTTAAAAAGACAATCTGGCCAGACAGTGGAATGGTAAACTGAGGCATTCTCCCAAAGAACTTAGGAGGGAGAAATATGAGAAAATTCAAGGTGATCCAAAATACCCATCTTTCACCAAAAGGGCAAAGGGAGGGCAAGGAGGAAATTACTAAGAAATACTATAAGAAAAGCCAAAATACCAGAACTGAAAGACATGTAAAACTATACTGAAAGGCCCACAGGGCAAGAAGCACATGAATGGACAGAGCTACCTATCCACATATCCTGTGGACCTCAGATCCTGGGTCAACAGCATGACCTGAATGAACACAGAGAGCCAGGTGGAGAGCTGGCCAGAGCTCTGCTCCACAGCCATGCTGGAAAGCAAAGGGTAGCAATTCAAGGAAGGCTTCTCTTGAAAATTCTGACTAGAAATCATTCTAGCCACCCATTAGACCTTGATGCTGGGCCTAGGAAGAACCGCCAAAAAGAAAGGCCTGGTTTATGTCTCGGGAACCTCAGTAGGTGATGGTGCATGGGTGGGAAAACACTTCAAGAGAGGCACCCATGCCGTCTTCAGCGGAGGAGGCTCTGAGCACCAGTACACTTCGTTCCTCACCTTCTAACTCTATTTCCTTCCCCAAAGCAAAGTTTGCTTCTTAACTTAGTTTATAAGCCTCTGGGTTTTCTGAGTTTGAAGTCAAATATTTAAGTTCAGATTTGCACTGGATTGCGTTGTTTTATTCTGAGTGAAATCTGAGGAAACATTATCAATTTTTACCTAAGGACTTGAGTTTATGAGGGCTTTGCTACGTATCTAGATTCAGCACCCCCAGGACTGCTGATTCTTCCACTGGAAACCCCAAAGTGGGACATTACAGTAGGAGGGGCCCACACCTGTGTCCACTCTCACTCGCTGCCAGTAGTCACCTGGGATGCAGGGGGCACAGGCTGTTGTGTGCCTTCATGGCTGCACTTATGCTCTTCCACTAAGAGAGGAAAGGGAAAGGGAAGGCAGATGGCTGAGAGTAGGGTGGTCTATTTAATTCATGCCTGCGGACTTTAGCTGTCAACAGCACACTACTAATTTCACTTGAATCCTGGAAGAAAAAACTTACATAAACGCACACTCACACCTAGAATTTGAGGAGTGTCATGCATAAGATAGAGTGAAAAAAGGAGCAGAGTGATGTTTCTCTAAACATCTCAAAGTAAGTAAAAGGTTTTCTTCCTGACTCTAATCTCTTCACCACACACCCCGAAGGCACACGTGTTATAGACAATAGTAACAGATGATGTACAGGTGCTGGTGTGGTGCTACAGGTCTGCAGGAGACACAGAGTTTGCTGGACTAGAACCTTAGAGAATCTTATATGTTGGTGTTGTATCCTGAAAAACAATACTATCTCTGAACTCACCATGGCACACTTCCACGCTTGCTGGAATGACTTACCAACTAAACCACCTAAGTGTTCTTCCTGTTCCCTGCTCTCAACACTAGACCCCATCTCTGTCACCTGCTTTTCTCCCTGTTGTGACAAAATACTTGACTAAAGTGACCTTAAAAAAAAAAAAAAAAAAAAAAAAAGCCTCCTCACCCATGTATCTCCCAGGTAACTCCACATTCTATCAAGTTGACAATATTACCACCATCCTATAGAAGATTGCTTGGGTCTACAGTGGCCCCACTTCCAGGCTTTGAGCCGTATCCTCACAGGTGACAGACACCCACAATGACTGCTTATATACACCATGGCTGCAGGTCCTACTGTGTCTTTTTCCAAGAGCTACTTTGTTTCTCTGGAAGAAACAAAGCAGATCCCTTTAAATACATTACTTGCTTCTTTTTTATTATTCATTTTGTACAAGAACCCTTTCAGAGCCCTGGGGATTAAGGTAATCGCTGACATATTTAATGTCTGTTATGCTAATAGGTTTCTAATAGCTAAAAGAACCATTCCAAGTCACACAACAAGGGGGCAAGGCTAACTGATGTTCCTCTTTTGAGTTGTGAAGTTTTTCTGGTGCACCAGGCATCACAGTTTCCTGCCAGAAGATAACCATAGAATGGATTTCCAGGCTGCAGATGCTACAAAGGCTAGAGTAGTGGCAGATTCAGGCAAGGCAAGGCTCAGGAAGCAGCAATTGTCCTTTCAAGACACCAACAAGATAGGTGTACACACACACACACACACACACACGCACACGCACGCACACACACACACACACGCACACGCACGCACACACACACACACACACACACACACACACACACACACACAGAGAGAGAGAGAGAGAGAGATCTAGACCAAAAGCTCACTTGACTGATTGGGACACTCTATGGAGAGTGTAAACAGAGGTATAGTTTTTCTTTTGTTTTGTTCACCAGGTTCCAAATAATCATACAAAGATTATATTAATTGCAAAATGTTCGATCTATAGCTCAGGCTTATTATCAACTAGCTCTTACAACTTTAACTAACCATTTCTATTCATCTACATTTTGTCACGTAGTTCCCTGGCTTTACCTCTTCCCTAGCATATCTTGTTCCTCTGGAGGCTAGCTCGCATCTCCCAACTCTGCCCTTCTTCAACCCCTTTCTTAAGAAGTTTTGTTTTTCCATCTAATCTTATCCTGCCTGGCTATTGGTCAGTCAGCTTCTTTATTAACCAAAGAGAGCAATACATATTTACAGCACACAGCAGGAGAGGTCTGGCATTGAATGGGTGGTACCACACACATGAGAGGCCTTCTGGCCCTGAACAGCTACTCAGCTGCCTCTCTCTTCATCAGTGGGCAGATTCTGAATCTTCAGGACCTGGCACACAACTGGAAAAATTCAGAAATCCTCATTGCAAATGGCTACCTCTCTCTCCTTTTCTTAGAAAACTCAAGAAAAAAAAAAAAAAAAAAAAAAAAAGAAAAGAAAAAGAAAAAGTCTACTGCATTGTAACACTTCTAGGATACACAGAGAAGATTCCCAGTAGCCGGTTCTGGATGAAGGGCTGTCTAAGAGGCAAGCTCCCAGCAGTGTCCACCATCTACACCATGGGTAGCAGGTGCACTACATGTGGAATGTAAAATGAAACCAGCTAATGGGAGGGTGATGGTATCTTACAAACTGCTGTATGGATTTTGTTATCAAGTAAAAAATTGCTGCTTTGGTTAGCAAAACTCTGTTTTAAACAGGTAAAATGTGCACAAGAAGAACTACGTTAAGAATGCTAGACAGACTTGGGGGCCCATCAGGGTGAAGAGGAAGCTGTCTTGTTAACAAGGCAAGTGATCAGCAATTTCTGGCACAAATTTGTTGAGAGCTATGAATGAATGAATGAATGAATGAATTCAAATAAATGAATGAATGAACCAACCGACAAATAAATAACTGTATGAATGAACAACAAAATGAACCAGTGAACAAATGTATGAATGAATAAACAAATGGAGACAAAGAGAATGAGTGAATGAATAAAAAAAAAAAAAAAAACAAACCACAAATCACCAAAGGTTCTGAAATCCTCTTATCTTAGGGGGAGGGTGTAATCATTATGATGGCAGAACATGCTAGGACTCTTGAGCATGTGCCAGGTGACCAGGTGGCCACCACAGCCTCAAGTCCTGAACTGTTTCTACATTTCATATCAAAGTTCATTGGAGGATTGGTAAGACAAGAGCAGACACAATGCCTATTTCATTATCTATATAAATTAGAATTGTAATCTAAAACCTTGAGGGCAGATTCAACTATCACTCACACACACACACACACACACACACACACACACACACACACACACACACACACACACTGCCAGGCCATTAAAATGGAATTTTCTTCCTGTTCCTCATTTCCTATTTTTCCTTCTTCCC